CCCCCCCTCAAAAGTTAAATGGTCGGCCCCTTACATAATTTCATGACTGAGGTCAGAGAAGCTTTTTCCTCACGCCACGCTGTTTCCTTTCGACCCTGTTGTCAATCACTAAAGATATTAACTGGCGGGAGGATCATGTCTATCGTTACTGCTACTTATAGAAGCATGTATCACCGCTCTGATTAAAAGCTACTGCTGTAGCAAACACCACTATCATCTTCGCTTTCGGCCAAAACCCTTAAAAGCTGTTCTCGAGACTCGTAAACTCAACGTAAAGTTCAGTCTATAAGGGTCTTCGAGACCAATCGATTACGAAAATGAAAGCACAAACAAATCATTTATATCTTCTGACGCGTAACCATATACCTCGAGGCTTGCTTGCGTTTCCCAATCAAGGGGGAGGGGGGAGGGACGATTAGAGCTCAGGCGCTTATTCGAGACGGGAACTTCCATTTCAACCACTAGTGTTCTTGGTTAGAATTTCAAAATAAGAGAAGCTATCAGTAATTCCTTTGTAGACAAATTCTACCACAACAAACCAGGGCTAGGCACTAAAAACTGGATCAAAAGGTTCTGAGTAAACCTAGAATTCTGTGGTCAGAGGGGTGGGGGTAAATAGTTGTAATAAATCATTATCAAATTGCATCATCCCAGCGGAAAAAGCGAGTAATATTGCATCATCCTTGAGAGTACATTCGAGGGCAACAAGGATCAATGCACTCAGTCGATGAAACAAGGCATTCCAGTTGTGGTGGGTGAACATCATGTCAAGGTGTGAATTTATTAATTGAACCAATTAATGTAGATGCCCTGATGGACAGAGTTATAGCACGAATACTAAATGAAGAAGTGAAAGAACAGATGTGAGCGGCTCAAAAGCAAATGCTTTCAAAGTCAGCATTGACAATAGAGGTCGTAATACGATCCTGAATACATCCAGAGCTTAATTGTGTCACATTTCAGACAGTGACTGCGGATCATGTATTACAAGAGGAATCAATATCTGACGTCGAGCTCGCAACGTCAGCGCTGTGTATTCCCATCCGACTATGTGAAAACACCAATACCACTTCGTGGTTGCTCTGATGACAATACTTTATGATAAAACGCATCAGAGGTAAAAAAACTATTCGGAGTAGTCCAGACTGTAACAGAAATTAATGGCAGAAAAAGAAACCCAGTGGATCAGAGCTACAAGAAGAAACAAGACAATGATCACGGATAAACAACTTTCCACCCAAAGAGGATTCAGGACTATTTCGTTGTCTTCAACTCACAGCCAGAACGAAAGTAGATCACATTGGTGTGGACAGAGAGTTTTCTAACAAGAATGAATAGGAGACGAATTTCAATGGAATGTGTACTATGGAAGTTTGCCAAGAAAGCTCAAGAAGGCTATCGATCAATTCTTATCGTTAACACCCCTTCGTTCCCCTCCCTACCAACACTTTCAAAGGATTTTAGCAATGACGTAATGCTAAACATTGCAAGAGTGACAGCTCATGAAAGAAAGCAGAACTTGTACTGAACTATTTCCACAGTCCTTGGGAAAGAAAAAGTGGAAATTACCCCGCTTCAAAGTCGGATTTCAGGTAACGGCAAAAGTGCACAAGTGAAAAGAAAAAGTGGAAATTACCCCGCTTCAAAGTCGGATTTCAGGTAACGGCAAAAGTGCACAAGTGAAAAGAAAAAGTGGAAATTACCCCGCTTCAAAGTCGGATTTCAGGGAACGGCAAAAGTGCACAAACCTGCAAGGTTTCGCTCGTTTCGAGGATAATTTTATCAGACGGACCGTTTGCCTTGCCAGTAATTTCTACTCTCTCATAAAGACTTTCAGGAAAATCTACAGTTTAGCGAAATGAACACCAAGCAGCACAACTGGACAGAAGAAGAAGAAAAGGTAGGTGTGACGACTTAGGGAAAGTTTCGTACGAGATTTATTCAGCTCTTTTATTTCCAAGCAGTGGAAGTTTTAAAACGAAGGCGAGTGCGGGAAAGTTTAAATTTCATTGAATCGCCGCTTATGCTTGGAACAGTCGCCTTTTAGTTTCCTTGTTCTGTTGTTTAGCTGCATGTGATATTAAACTTCTCTGTAACTCGCTGATCACGAATTTTTCTCCAAAGATCTAAATATTTGGAAATTTTCGCAGCCAGTTTAATTGATTACTGTCGCAAACTGCAGTACTAATAACACGCGTATACTTCGTCGACAGTTAAATCAAGAAAGCATCATTCAAAGAGCTACTCGCCAGTCAGTATGTGAGGTATTTAATCAACTAATACAGCACCTCAATTTAATGTACCATGAAGGAATGGAATCGCTGGCTGTAAGGTATAGTTCGGCTCTTTCTGTCACCTTTGCTGAGCGGGTTCTGTTCATGATGTAGATCTGCAGTGTTGCGAAAAATATTCAGAATTAGTATTCTGTAAAGAAACTGTTTTAGGAGTAAAACTTTCTTGCTTACTCACAAAGATGATCACTTACAGACACAGTCTAATTCAATATAATCACAAACCAAACGAATTCTTTGTCAAACATTCATTACATTTAACGAGGTGTCTACTGTTGCAGTGTTGCGTGCTATGTATATTGTTAATGCAATTACTATCAATACACACGCCGGAGCGTGAGTATAGTTTTATGATTGTGTAAGTACTGTACGCATTTCGAATCACCAATGTGGTATAATGTACTCGACCCAAAGTAAAGTTACCAGCAGTCTATTGAATTATGAATAATACGGTATTGGTTTTTGTTTGAGAGTTGCTTTTGTAATCACTCAAAACACGAGCATCGATGTGAAGCACATTTGTCAATTATAAGTACTATGGTGTACCACATTAACGATTAAATAGGGCTAAGATTTGTAAGCGATGTGTTGCATGTACATGAATCTCTTTTTGTCAAAGAGAAAATGAGTTACCTTGAAGTTAACCGTTTTCTTTTGTCAGCAACACTCGGGAACGAAGAAGTTTACAATGGAAACATCTGAACTGGGTATGTAAACGTTGTGTGTGCTATGACAACGCATGTCAACTGGACTCATTGTTGTTTTAGCAGAAGATAATTACAATGTCCATCAAATTATCAATAACCTTGTTCAACAGGGGAATATACAACTCTTAGTGAGTAAGATTTACAGCCAACCCCACATTACAAAACACACACCAGCTGTTCACCTCCTTATAACATACCAAACAAAAAGGCGTACATGTAAATTATATTATTTTTTAATTACTCCAGAGATTCCCTGGTAAAGCAGAATACAGATGTGTTACAACAACCATCAAACAACAAGAAGTACTACTAAAGGTGGGTATTGAGCTAGATGGGTACCAAAAAAAGTTCATCCTCAAACGAAATTCAAAACAGTAACTGAAGTAAGCATGACGTCCGCTTTCCTGCAGCACATGTATCGACAGGGGAAAGACACCTTTCTACATGAACTTCTTATCCGCCTTCTACGCAATCTCTGGAAATATATTCAGATGTCTAACTTCAATAGAATGGGGTCTCTCAGGTAATTTTTTTCTTATCAGTATCATTCACTTTAATTTTACAAAATTCGTTCACTCACTTTCTGAAAACTATAAGTAAATACTGGAAAACTACTCGCAACATAATTTGTCTCATCAGGGAATCTCGAGTACTTCCAAAGAATAATAAATTTATATTATAAAAGGCCACCCTTAAGTTCTTAAGTCCTTTTGAAGTACATTTTTTACCATTTAATTATTTTTCATTTTACAGTATGCATCACGAAGGAGAAAGGATGTTATTTCCGTCGGTAAGAAAGAGCAAATCTATGAATTAATTATCATTAAAAAGGACACTTATCCACTCCCATACGTCGTCCAACTCAAACATTTGTCATTGCATTATTAATCATAAGACTATGATGGTAAAAACTGAGGCATTTTTCCTCTTCTAAACATTCTTCCACCATTTATATGGGTATATAGGAACGCAATTAATAGTCAAATTCAAGATAGCTGTTGTTAGAACATGAATTGTTGATACTGTTCACTTTTAAGGTAAACAGATCCCTTGAATAATACATTAACACACGCATCTAAATACGAAATATGCATAATCCATCTCTTAAACTGACCTTGGACTATTATTCTATTTATCTGTAGCAAGCTGAAAGAGGCGAGCCAGACACCCTTCTGCAACATCTCAAGACACTGGTATATCTTTTTAACGAAGCAATGCCTGGACGCAACACACAGGAAAGGTAATAAATAGAGAGTATCGTTTAGACGGTGAAAAAATAAAAGATGAACTATAATATACAAGCAAGTAGCAAGTTTGCAATCAGTAAAGTGGGCCTCCACCAACACCTTGCATGCAGAGGCTTTCATCTGCTCTCAATATTTTCTGGTTGCTGACTCGGACATTCCGCAGCTTAAGCTGTGTTATGCGTCCAATCGAGGCTGATCATAATGATACTGATCAGGCACCCGACATGAGCATTTAGGAAGTCCTCCTCCCAATACTGGCCTGGTCAATTAACTAAGACAGTTACCTTAGAAACAACATACAGCTCAGATCAATTACCTATTGGACGTCACCACAGCGCTAACAACAGTAGTTCTCCGCCCCAGCCCCCACTCACTTAATATATTTTCCAGGTTTGTATAGATTTGATACAATTAGTCCCAAATCGTTCACCTAAAGCCAAATGGTTGGTGTTTGTTTCTCGTCCTGCATAAGGGTCTTTGCCTCACCATGCTACAACCACGTAGTTAATAGTTTTTTCTACCACAATCTACCTAGAACCGACAAATCTCTGATGCACCACCTATCTTAATACACCCTCTAGCAAACCCACTTGCAACATTCTTCTTCACATAGAGAAATCTGTAGGACTTCCATAAAGTATTGCTCTTCTTTTTCAAGGACACCTTGTAAATCCTTTTTATGGTATATTGCTTTACCATTTTACTTTTGTTTTTAATGCAGTATGTATGACGAGGAGGGGATACCATTTCTTTTGGTAAGGAAACAAATCTACGAATCAGTTGTCATTAAAAAGGAAACATATTCACTTCTTTCTGTCATCCACATCAAATATCTTCCACTATAATACTAATCACACATCTAAGATGGTAAAAACTGAGGGAGCCCTCAAAATCATAATTCTCGCATCAGAAGAGTAATTTTTTCCTCCTTCTGATATTGTTTTACCATTATATAAGCAATGAGCGCAATGTGCAGTTAAATTTAAGAGAGAAGCTATCATGAGGTGTACCGTTCAAACTGTTCTGTACTGATAACCTTTATATTGGTTGTTAGGGTGCACAGCTCCTTGACTAATTCAAAAACAGATATCCACATACGAACTATTGATAATCATCCTCAAAATCTAATATCGGGCCACCTACTTTGTTTATCTGTAGCAGATTGAAGGACACGAGCGAGACACCCTTCAGCAACATGTTAAGAAGTTGTTACATCTTTTAAAAATAGCAATGCCTGGATGTAGCCCTCAGGGCTCACAACGTACAAGGTAACAAATGGAGAGCATCTTTAAGATAAAGGAAAATGAAAGATATTCAATTTAATATTAGAAGTTTGGGACTCTACCGACATCTTGCATGCAAAGGATTTCATCTGCTCTCAATATTTCCTGGTTGCCGACTTGAACGTTAAGCTATGTTATGCGTCCGACTGCAACCTTAGAAACAGTACACGGCTTAGACCAATCAAAAAGCTTTTGGTCTTCACCGTAGCTCCAACAACAAGACTTCTCCCTCCCTTCCCCCCACTTGATATGTCACCATAAATTGCACTCATGCAATTAATATTAATTTCAGTTTTTTAGCTATAGATCACAAATGAGATTTTAAACCAATTTAATCCACATCACTCACTTGAATTCCTTTCTCCCACAGAGGTAACGAGGACAACATTTTTCAAGAGTGTGGCTCGTGTTACGCTCATCAGGTCAGTCCTTTTCTCGAAGTCATTCCATGAGTATATTCACATGAAGTTCGCCCTAATATTACACTTGTGCCCATGAAATTTACCTTACCAATGCGAAGTATCTACTGGAACATTACATGGTATTAAGATGGGCTGGAGGTTCTGTAAAAAATTTAAAATTCAAAAGTGCATCATGAAGATAGGTCGATAAGTACGGATCAAAAAAGCCACCACATACATTTTTTAATAATTGTAAAACTCAAATAGGAGACCTTATATATATGTTTGGTTATATCAACTAAGTTGAAATTGTAAGTTGGCCACCGTAACGAATAAATTACGGTGGCCAATTTACTACTTCAACTTAGTTGATATAACCAATTACCTTGTCACCCCCACCGACGCAGCACCACAGTTTCTTTAAAAACTTTCAGCCTTTATATATGTGTTGACTGACGGGGACAACAGTTGTATAATAAAAATGAAATGTTCAAAGTATTTACCCAGTTGATAAGCGTGGGTCACACTTTTCCTCTTCAAATTCTTAATCACAAAAATTTCTTGTTTTCCTCACAGGAATTGTGAGAAGACGTCTAAAAGGGCACGACAGTCAAGCAAAGTTTTGGAGAGTAAAAAATGCATTACTATAACTCCAATTTTCAAGACACCGGCTAAATATTTCCATAGAGGGGGTTCTCAAGTCTCATTCCTAATAAATAATAATAATCAGTCTAAAATACTAAAAGTGTACAAAAGTTAGATATATGTACATATCAACCCGCATCAAACAAAATATTTTATTCTTATCTGAAATTCACATACGCTCAAGAATATTTTCATCTTGATGGAAAATGTATATTTTATATTACACAATTAAAGGACAAATTATAGCATATTTTTAAGGTGTATTTTTCTCATCCTTACCACTGCTTTCTTAACTGAGTTATGTTATATGTGAGTCTAAGCGTAATAGTAAGAAACGATGGCTGGTAAGAAATAAATTAACATTCATAATCATTCCCTTCCAATCGTTTAAAATAAATCCGTCTCGTTCACTCCACCCCGCCTAAGCGATGAAAACCCGATGATGGTGAAATTGTTTTATTCAGCACATGAAACTTCCCTAATGATGAAACAGAACTGGAAAGAAATTGTGCATGGAAAAGGCGAAGTGTTGTCTTCGCACAGAAGAGGGGACACGAACTTACACATTAACACAACAGATGCAAAAGAATTACGTGGCGCTAGAAAAAAAAAATTGTTACTCTACGTCGTATTTACATATCTGTCACATGTACACATTTGGAGGTTCATGTGACGGGCGGGTGGGACTACGGCCTTTACAGGGTACATGTACTCCATTCATGACCCGTTACCCTCGCGGAAAAAAGAGAACCAACGCCTTCGCCCCCCGAAAAATTGAGACCTGCTGCACTTTAGAACCAGGGGAATCAGTTCATAACAGCTACTTAAATTGGGATCTTGCCAAGTACCAAATGATCGATAGCTACTTAAATCTTTTTTCGCATCGTCGGCTTTGAACATTTCAGCGACGATTTCGCGCACGGAAATAGTAGTGCGTGAAAAGCAATTCTATAGCCAATTACTTGACCCTAAAGTGTTTCTATTCTTGTCTTTTAATGTTTATTTATCTTCGGTAAGATAAAAGATAAGGCATCGTTTTCTGAAACTGACATATTATTTTAGCACCGGAGGTAGATGACGAGTGCTGACGAGCATTTTAGCAAAAGAATTAACCAAGTAAAATCTAATTTTTCCTGCAAGCAGATGTACTTTGTCTATGCATTAAGAGAAAATTCGTTTCATTCGATAACTTCCTTGGAAAAAAAACTCGCATTTCATCTGCGGGTAGATGATTCTATACCTGCCATTAGTGTCAAAAAAGGTTACTTTTTTCCTTTCTGTCGCAATTTTGTTCAGTTGAAAACATGTTGAAACCAAGTATTATGTCATTCGAAGTGATCTCAACGCAACACTTTGTTTAAATCAAATTCACACCTTTGGGCTAACATGTTATGTCAAAAATTTGTACTTTTACAGCTACATGTATTTACACGTGCGTTGCAATGATAATGAATGTTCTTATGTGAATATTCCTCAGCGTACCCCTACTTCGTAAAGCAACCAATCCGCTCTAAAAAAATCAGCACAATTGTTTCTCAATTCTATGACGTATAAGAAACGAAAGAAGGTAAACAAACTTCCTTTGTTGTTGCGCGTGAGTTTTATCGAGCCTGTTGTGGTTTGAGAACGCACAAAGGACTTTGGTTTAAAAATGCTGTATTGTTTCATCACAATATTTGGGTGGCGAACAACACAACAGGATTGCAACCGCCAAAACTTCCAGACTATGAAAAACGTGCCAAAAAATTCATGCCTATTCGTGTAACGCTAAACAACATAGCACACATACTGTAAATGAATAGCTTGAATTTCCTGTAGGAAATAAAATAAATATGGTAGACTAACTCTAACACAGCGACGATGCCATCACTCCAAATCAAAATCGGAACTTTCATTCCACGTGTAAACCACGAGACTAATCACATATCTTCAGTTCTGCAGCTTTGCCAAAGTCTTAGTACAGAATCAATTTCACTTCAAAGAATAAAACGATCTTGAATTTGAATTTTGCAAGCGCCATTTTTACTATTATGTGGCAATGCCTTCTTTTTAGCTTTGTAGATCGTGACATATTCAGTAATTAAATGTCCCTGTATCTCTCTAGTTCTAGAGGGAATGTCTAGATGGACATTAAGGCCCACTCATTTATGAACTTTCGCCGATAATTCACCGATAGAGACTACAGAATTCACGACTACGTGCGTTAAAAAAAAGCATGACTGATACCTACCGACTACTATTTCACTCTTTCACCTGCATTACCACAAGTACCAAAATACAAGGCGACGCACACGAGTTTACCAGCTTGCTTTTCTCAGACGGTGAAAAATGTTACTCAAGTATTAATTGCCTAATAGTGTACATAACCTGACAACGTAAAAACAATTTAACCTTGGTGAAACTGAGATCCAAGACGAGAGGGGGTGGGAGATAGGAATAACGGAGGAAGGGGGGGGGGATTTCACCCTAATAGCCGAAGTATGTACGGCTTGTTACGTTTGATTTAAAAAAACAAAACACTAGCCCACATGTACATGTAACTTTTCCATTGATGAACTCCATTAAAGACTTTTTAACTGACAAAATTAAAAAAATGAATTCCGACTATAAGATAGGGTCAAGGGATCCAAGTCGGTTATTCCTTTCGAGCAAAACTGGAGATACCTTCACTCAATGACGCCCAATAAAAATTGGCCAAGAAATTCCGAGAAGGGGACTAGCAATAAAATTAAGTTTTTGTTTTATCCATAACATAATACCTTAAATTGAACGGCCTTGTCACAGGATTAACCCTGGAGAGAGTATTCCTTTTACCTTCATCATCCTCCTTCTCCATCACCAAAATCACCACTTGGTCAATTTTGAAAATCTTTTCGCAGAATTTCTCACTTACGTTAGAAGGAAACTCTGCACACGCTGGTTCTATAGACTTGGACTGTATACTTTCGGTTAACTTGACTTTATTCTTCACAATCCAACATTACACGTTCTGTTCTACGACCTATCTCAATCCATCAACTTTGAGTTACAAAAATGCTATGTTTTATAAGCTACGGATATATACACCCAGATACGTAAGTCCGGAGTGGTAAGATAATTTAAGCTAACTTGACAAAGTTCCAGTTTTGTTTTACACATTCTTCAATGATTCGTGGCCACTAATTTCCTGTTACATCGGCATGCTCGACAATGATAGTGTTAATCTATGCATGCAGTTTTACCAGCGACTATTTGATTAAATACATCATTGTTTGTGAAGGCTCGATTACACGATGCCAGTTAATACTTCCTTTGACATTCCACAAATCAATGTTAGCAACAAGAAATGATAGCTTACTTAATCAACTACCAAACACCCCGAAACAGGAAAACTTTATTATGAGCACATGCAAACTTTTCACGACAAATCTCTATCGCCACCGTTTATGACAACATTAACTGACTATGCTGCACTTTGCACTAAATGGGGCGCAAACAATAGACGAGACTATGCAGCACGAGAAGTGCAGCACAATACAGGCCTCTATGTTTTTCTTTTTTAGAGCCTCACACCCGTCATCGTCTATACAGTATTTACATTGCCTTAAGACTCTCAAAGGAAATGCATCTCTATCTACGATAAAACTATCACCACCAAGCAGATATTAATCCTCGCCTTTCACTGACGTTGACATTAAGTTAACCGCCTCCCGGTTAGCTCAATGGATAGAGCGCTGGACTGTTGTGCGGGAGGTCGAAGGTTCGAGCCCCGGCCGGACCAACACTCAGGGTCTTAAAATAATTTAGAAGAATTTGCTACCTTTCTATAACTTCAAGAAATGGTTAGATATTCTAGTCTTCTCGGATAGGGACGAATAAATGGAGGTCCCGTCTCCTGCAGGGTTGGGGTAGGAGACGTAAATTTCCCACACACGAGATTACTGTGTGATGGATGTCCTCCCCTGGGGTGGGATGGGTGGGAGGGTGGACTAGCACGAATGGTTCGTATGTTCCTTTCTAGTCCTTCCCCACCGCAAATAATGCAGTGAAAATGGAGTAAATAAGTATTAAACTCAATTAACACAAATATGGAACCGGCGGAACCTTTTCAAACTAACCACAAAATGCAACTGCCAAATATAAAATTGTTTTTCAACCAACTCACATACAAAAGACACGTCTCCTGATTATGACGAAACACAATTCTATTTTCATCTCTTATCATTTTATCGCCCCAGCTGGCTGCACTATCAGGGCGGATGTCAAATATCCGAAAAGGAAAAATGAAAATACTCTTGAACCAGCCAGGAGGCTTTCTAGGCGATCAGTTGGTATAAGATAGGGAATCATCAGTCGAACATATCGTATCAACAAAGCTCTACTCAAGCATACCAGAAACCTTACCCCGACATCTGCACATCGTGTGCAAGGCTCGCTATTGTTCGTTATATATTTGTAGTGAACAATCACAATTGTATTTACAACGTGCTTACTAGACAAATACTTTCGTGACTTTCTAGCGAGTCACGCTTCATTTAAAGCACCTGCAAAGAGCAAACAACGACACCTGCTGTCACAATACCACCACCGCGTGAGAGCATAGTTACCCACGTGGCTTATTAGCTAACTAACCAACTTGTTCCTTGTTATCTTTCATTCCATATGAGAGTTCAACAAGAGATGGGTGCAATATCGTTGAAGATTCCTTTCATTAGAAAAAAAAAATACACACAAGGTTCCTGTCTTAAAAAAATTTTCTTGTATAGGCTGCTTTAAGGTGCGATTCCTAATATAATCGTCAAGACATTTTTGTTCATTTGATGTTGCACTGATGTACAAATAACATGTGTGGCTAGTTAAGCCTTTCACTCCTCATATCGCATTGGTAATTCTCCTAACTGTCTGCCATACAATTCTTATGATGTTAGTTTAGAGAATTTGGTATTGGATCAACTGATAATCCCCTGATTTTCTGTTTCCCTTGATCTCATTACTGTTCTGCTTGGTATTGTATTGATATTGCAAGGAGAAATTCTGGGACCAAGTCACTCGTGTCTTGGTCACTCATGGGAGTTAAAGGGTTAAGATACTCCACAGAATGCTTTTGAACGCACCGGTAAATAAAATACTTGCATCAAAAGAAGTCCAAAGTTCGCCATATCTCTCCTTCTCCAACCTCACCTTCGTCTTTTTCATACGTTATGTCGCTCCAGCTCGAGATAAGGATTCATGAGAATTGAAAGAGCAATAGGTCTGTGAACAAGCTATTATGAACGTCATTTATCTCCTAACTTTTTTGCCTTTTTTATTGTCTTATTTCAGTCGACAATTAGTATTAGATTCTTCGTTTGATTCTTACAATGGATTTCGTCGAAAGAATAACAACAATAAACTGAACTGATGTTTAGATGTAAAAGCCCTAATGATATGTTAAAAAACGTCACAATTTAACTCTGATTAACACGAACAAAACACAACACTGTTACAGAACTGAGGGTATACCGTACGTGGACTATAGCCTTTAACCTGCGAAGGTAGTGCTCTTGACAAAAGAGAAGCTGATGTTTTGAGAAAATTGCTGATTACTTAGGAACGAAATTAATTCTTACCTTTCCTTATTACGGGCAAATATCCAAAATATACTTGCTAGTTCGTTCTCTCTACAAAAGCAAAAGGATAGTAGTCAAAAATAGCCAATAGAACAAGAATATGGAAAGCCTGGTAACAAGATGGCTTAATAACAACTTAATGAAGCCAAGTTCCCAAACTGAAAATTACGTGAAAATACTCAGCCATAAGACGCACCAAAAGGTTGAGAGTTAACAAAAGGTGTGATGGATCTGAGAAAGTTTCCCGGTTGCTCTGGCGGTAAAAGCAAATAACGAAAAACTCCCACGGAAAGTAATATTCAAAGGTGTTCGACAGCTGAATATCAACACACCACCAAGGATGCAAGTTTCAGTGCACAAAAAGAGGCTGGATGGACGAAGAAGGTAGGTTTTATCTCCACATTGTTTGTACAGAGACTGAACTTGTTGAGCCAGCGACACAAACACGATTTTTGGAATTTGAAACGAGGTTCGAACGATTGTTTTGCTTTCATGGATATCATGTTGCCGAGCACGTGCTGTTAAGGACGTATGCAAATTTCCGTTTGTTTGCTTTTCTGTGGAAGGAATAAAGGATCGGATTCTACGCAATCTTCGCAACACCTCAGACCAAAAAGGTCTGCACTAGTGTGGGATTCGTTTCGTGTTCATTTGACGGAGACCGTATAGGAAACGGTTCTTTCCCCTCAAAAATCCTTCGCTTTCGAATAAGAGGCAGTGGAAACCGAATAAGATCAACGCCAAGTGTACGAGCAAAATATGTTAACAAGCATCACCGCCGAATAAAATCAAGCAACATTGGGCGGCAGAGTTTTAAGGGGCGGTTCTCATTGACTGCTTAGACGATTGCCCAACATAAACCACGCTTTCCCAAAACAAAAACAATTGTGGAAGGAGGGAACTTATTCCGATCCCTAGTTCCAGAGACACTCAATAGTGATTTTTGTTGACTTCTATCAGTCTTATTGCTATTTTGTTTCCATCTTTTTGTTCAACCTTATTTTTGAAGATTTTCGAACGAAGAAAAGAAACCCCCTGTACATTTTTCAAAAGTTGCAAATATATATGCAGGTCTAAAATTAGCAAAGAACAAGTTTGTAGAAAACAAAAACACAATACAACCTGTATGATTTTAAATCAAAATCGGCTCTTCTCGCGCCAAATACAATGTTTGAAAGGCGTACAAGTTGCGAGACCAAACAACAACCTCAAAGGCAGCAAGTTTTTTGCAGGCTAGCACATTCCCAAACAGTATTTTTAACACTACTTTTCCACTCCCTGTCGAAAGTAAACCTTGGATTGCATTGGTTCTGCTTCATGACGGTCTCTAACTGGAGTCGAAATATTCGGCCTCTCTCTCAACCAATCAAATACAATACTGAGTTACTTGCGTTTTCCCGCGCTTTGGGTGGTTTGATTGTTTTCACTTTGAGTTCTCACTGGCTCTGCCTGATGTTTTTCTTTATTCTCACTGGCCCTTATCATTACCCTGGTTTTGAAACTGATAGTTTATTTTCAGTGAGACTGTTAGATGTAAGCATTGTCGCTCCTTTAAATCGTGAAGATGGCGGGTTGCTACCTGACGACCTGACGCCTATTCGCACCTCGTCAGAAAAAAGGGCACCTAATTAGAGAGCATATAAAAGAACATTTAGTTGCAACCATTAGATCACCCCTGATGAAGGCACAAGTCAGGAGTCTTGAAACGTTGGGTCTGTGAATTGTAACTTCTCAGTTACATTCTTAAATCTTTAAACCAGAGTAGCATCAAACCATATCTGACATTTCACATACTTTCAACATCTAAGCTTTCACTGATAAAATTTTTGTAAATCTAGTGATAGTCGCAGATTGGAGAGAGTTCAAGAAAAAGGCCTAAGGGCTATATCCAAAGATAGACACTCCACCTTTGAACGTTCGCTGCAGAAAGCTAATTTACCTGCTAGTAAACAGACGCTTACAGGATATATGCATTTTAATGTACAAAGTTTAACACAACCTTAGCCCCTTGAATATTTGTAATATATTTCAGAAACACAACGCTTACTATAATTTAAGACAGGCCGACTTTTCTATTCCTAGATACAACACAATAACTTACGGCAAACATTCACTACGTTATTTAGGACCTAAATTATGGAGTAAACTGACAACTTACGACAGATCAGCCACAACATTAGCTGGTTTCAAAAACCGCATACGTAAGCGTGACCTCAGCTCCCCATTTGATGATGGCTGCAGGGGCTGTGTTCTATGTACTTCTTGACTCATTTCATATTTTTTCATACATGATATGACTTAATTTTATTCTTAAGTAGGTAATATTCTTTGTAAATAATTTTTATCCATTTTATTTGTGTCCCCACATTAGTATGAGATATCTCCCAAACTAGGTTCTTTGACACGTTAATAAAGTTTCTATCTAAACCGAAGATCAGGGCACATTAAACCATGACTTTCTGTTGCATGTACTGACTTCTGCTACTGAATTCTCCTGATGTTCCACGAGTAAACTTACTAGGTCACTAAGTGTACCCAAAAGGTTAATGCATTACATTCACAAGGTATATCTAAAGCTGATGTCTGCAAACAATAAATGCTGAGGCAGAGAAATCAAAATCTCCTTAATTTTTCTCTACAGGTCAAAATAAAACATAACCAAACATGTACCTTAACTGCATTGCATCTACACACTAAAAATTCAACTGGTGTTTCCAAGAAAATTAAATTTACAATAATGCACAAAACTCATGCACAGACAGAATGGTCTGTATAATAAGAATTTATGTCAAGGATCCAGTTCAGGGTAACTGAAAACCACATAGATGTTTTGCAATAATCTCTTCATACATGTTCTGAAAGAATTTTCAAATCACATTTGAATTTTGCACTTGCAAAGCTATCCCATCACCCAAACAAAATTCTCTGTTTATTTGAGCCTTTGAATATTAAAATTCATATCAGTTGTCAAAGTTAGGTGCTGTTAGAACCTTGACCTCTACATGAACTAGTGGGGCTATCAAGTCTTAGTACGATTGAGAAGAGTGCATCATCAGCTTTCACTTGCACCTCACTCAGACCAAGGTGAAAATTTGCCATGAATGCCTTCTCATTGTAAATAATTCATGTTAGTAAATGCAAATATTAACATTCACTAACTCAAGGGATGTAACACTTTTATTCAGGGAACAATTTTCCTGGTTGTAGGAGTGTTCCCTAAGACAATAGCACTAAGCAGGTCAAAATATCTCAAACAAGTGAATTTGATATGTTTAATCAAGTTTAAATGCATAGAAAAAAATCAGAACTTTTAAGAGAAATGGGTGTAGCAATAAATAAGAAGGAATTGAGGGTAGTTAAAAACTCATACAGTAGAAGAAAATATACACCACCATAACATAAATAACAAACATTAAGGGCAATTTACTATATTACACACTCTAAGTAAGAGATCCTGGTAGCACATTTAGCAAACCAGGGTGTTCATAAAGCATCAAGGATCCGATAATTATCTGGCTATCACGTAGAATTTGATATCCAGAGTGAGAAAAAAAATTTGCCTCCTAATCAACAAATTCCCCTCGCAGATCTGTTTTGATAACAGTGGGTGAGCTTAATATGACTAGCAACGCCGAGCAGCTCAACCAAACAACATCACATTAAGCTTTCTGAAAACTGGTAATATTGATAGTGCTGCGCAACGTTACACTTCGTTTTGCCTAGACACGCAATAAACTAGTGAATACAGGGACAACCTCTTCTTGAGACTCACAGCCACATTTCTATCGCCCGCGTGAGAGGTCTAGCAGGCGAAACGACTGACACTTGCTAAACAAATAATACAATCTGGCTATGCGAGTGTTTTCCTCACTGACTCAAACCAGAACGATAGTGATTATAAACCAAATTGGCCGAGTAATTTCATCCTATAAAAAAATTGAAAATATGCTGACCTTTAACCCACTCAAGCCAATAACTATTTCATCCTCCAGTCTCCAACGACCTTTGCTCCATCTTTAACTACACTCCTCACGCGCAACCTTTGAATTTCATAGGATACCATGATTGTGCTTACACGAACAATAAAGCGCGCCGCTAGCCCGGTCCCAGGATCTCTCGTCACATGGCCCCAGGCTGACACATGGGTAGCGACACTGTCGTCATTGTCTTGGCTTGAACAATGAAAACATCACTGGATTCGGTTTTTGCTCGAAAGTCCGCAAAATATTTTCGACAACTTTCGAATGCCTTAATTAAGCTTCAGCGATTATTTCGAACCTTACCGTTAAGGAAATTGCTATAAAAGAAAAATAATTTATTCGTCACCATTTTGTCCTCTGCAGCCGAGAAGATCACAGAAGATCACAGTGTTTCTGAGTACAACTTTTTTCAAAGCATATGACCCTTATTAGGATTGATGCTACGTATACATATTCATCTAAAAATCACTAATCCACAAACATTTACCATAATCACCGTTTGTGAATATACGAAAAACGTGTGTGTGAACTGCGGTTAAAGAAACGAGTACGAGAACGATCTTCGCAGTAACTGACACTACTTAAGCAGTAGTGAAATTAAGGCCTGAAAAAAAACATTCAGGCCTGTACGGGATTCGAACCCATGATTTCTGCGATACCGGTACAGTGCGCTACCAACTAAGCAAACAAGCCAGCTGGGAGCTGGTCATTATATTGTTCTTAACTCTCTTGATGCATGTTAATCTGCCTTTGTGGCCTCTGTTATGAGTGAAAACTGCAGTGATTTTAACAAGGTTGCCAGGCCATGAAGGCCAATTTGCATGCATACAAAAGATTAATAATTAAGGCCCACAATTGAAACATGCCTAGTTTTCTGCAAGATTTTGTGAAAAAAGTTAAGATAACTGTACAGTGTAATTGGTAAATTGGGAACTAACTTTGCAGCAAAAGTTGCCAATTTGGCGACCTGTGTTTGGCAGACGTACAGAAAGCTGTGACCTACTTTTTTATTACTACATGCTTATGGATCAAACTAAAAAAGGAGATGGCACTTGATCTCTAAAGATGATTAATGTTCCACCCTTTTTATTTATATTTTTTGTTTCTTGATGCAAAAGTTTTTGCATCAACTTCCTTAAACATTTGCTGACATTGCCTGCCATCTTGCTTATTCACACTCTTTTGCTAGATTATATTAAAAAGTTCAAGAGTAGTGTGCTTCATCATGTTATACTGCACAAGCTGATCTTCTCCTTTTTATTCTAGGAATTAAAAACTTTCTGCCAGCCACCACTTTATGACTCTCGGTCATCAAATAGAGACTTTTAACCCGGTTGTGTTTGGAGCTGTCCACTGTGAAGTACATTTGGGAGACAATGTCCCACTGGTCAACAAGCAAGAGATAATTTTATGGTTAAAGCCTTAACCTCTGTGTTGTGCTTTCCATTGCCTTTTTCCACCTTAGGTCCCTTCACGCTACTGAAACAGGCACATTATGTCCAGCCAGAGAGGTTTTGATTTCGCTCCTAGGCTGACTTTACATTTCGTCTTTCCTTCCACCCTCAGGAACATAAATTGATACTGACATGTACAAGCTGTCAGACAAAATTAATGAAATGTAAGTAAGGAAGGTTGAAAAAGCCAGTGATGGATTAGCATCCCAATCAGCCTGCTGTAGGAAGTTAACTGGGATAAGCCTCTGTATATGTAAGAGAAAGTCTTGTAATTGGAGCGTTAACTCTGCTGCGTTATACATGAAAGCTGCATGTAACAAACTTATTCAACAAACCTATATTTGCCTTAGCTGCCACTCTTTTAGGCTTGCAGAAAGCAAATGAATATACTTTTGTTATATATAATAAAATGATTACTCTCGGCACATAAATATTATGTGAGACAAAGAACTTTTTTTTCAGATGATGATAACTGTAAATTGTATCAAATTATGATACAACCAATAATCAAGCAGTATTTTAGAAAATACAGGGCAACGCTGCAGCACCTTAATTCCAAAACCTTGAGTTGCAGAACACAATAGTTATAATCAAAATCTTCAGTTGTGAGTTTATGCAAAATGATGTGTTTCCTAACAAGTCCTTGTAATTTAACACACAGCCATCCTTGACTTTCATCCTCTTTTAATCTAACTCCAACATCTTCCTTAAAATACTTTATGTCTTAGAGGGTCACAAGGGAATTACAGCAACATTGATTTCATCTTTCCGAAATATACTGAAACTACAATCCAACACCACTTACGTTGAATGATGTGTTAGTGACATCTAGATTCAAAATGTAACAAATACCTACCCAAATATTCTGCTTCGACTTGCCAAAGAATCTGGTGCAAAGAGCTTTTCAATAATGGAAAACATAACAAGCTAAAACCATTTAATCCTTAAGAATGACTACCATCTAATCTCTCCTTACAATATCAACCTTAAATCAAACATGAAGGTCACACTAATACACAAAATGATCCCCAACTAGAGAAACTTAATTTTTGAACAAATCCTCCTTGCCAGAACCTTAGAAAATGTATAGAGAACAGTATGGAGAATATGCATATTGATGTTGGCCTATGAAAGGATTTAAGTTGCATTTATATCACTGAGCAAAATAACAATTTTCATTAATAACAAAATGAAGGTAAGAACAAGAAAACACTAATTCAAGAGTATATATTTTGTAACGCAAGTTTATAGCCCACGCAGATAGGAGTGAATCCATTCTCCAAGTCAAGTCTGAGCCCGAGTCATGTCCGAGTCCGAGTCAGGCCGAGTCACAGGTCAGCTGTATACCTTTTTTCAGTCAGACCATGAGGTCTTCGTCGATCAGAATGGCGAGTGGTAAATGCAAATTTTTTTAAAATCATATGTACATCTTCAATAAGTTTACATATGATTACATATACATAAGCACTGTTCTTTTCAGCTAAATTAGTAACAGAAATCTTTTTTCAGCTTTGGTTTCTGTAAAGATGTTAAGGGCAGTGAGGAAAAGCTCAACCTCGAGCTTTTCTCCAATGAAGTTAAGCTCACTATTTAATTTTTCACTCTCTACAGCTCCCTGAATATGTGGTTGATCTGTACCTTTAAAGAAACCACTGACTTGGTCACTTGACTCGGACTCGGAGTTGACTTGGTGATCCGGTAAACTCACACAGATAGCCACCTTTGTGATGAATGAATAAAGGCTGATAGTTTCGAAAGAAACTGTTTGGGGCTGCGTCGGTGGGAGTAACGAAATAATTTGGATATATCAACAAAGTTGAAATGGTAAATTGGCCACCGTAATGATTACAAAAGCTGACGTTTCGAGCGTTAGCCCTTCGTCGNAAAGTTAGCATGGCCTGGAGATCTGAAAAGCATTCATCTTCACCTTAAGGATCCACCTCTCCAGGGAAAGAATTGACTAAAGGAAAAGGGCAAGGGTTTGTTAATTAAACCCTCTTTAAATGCACAGCCAGCTTGTTATGTTAAATATTGAAAGCTCACTCAGGGCATAAAAAATGCTTTGATTTTCTTTTACTTATACCTGTGATAGAAAGAACAGACATTAAAGATATGTGTCAAGTAAAACTGTTGAATTTTGCTGAGTGATAAAGCAGCCAGAATTTCCTCTTCAGTGGCCTGAAAAAGGGCTGGGTCCATCTCCCTAGAGAGAGAAAAAATTTGTTTATGTATCTGCTCTGATAACTTCCATTTTCAAGTTGGAATGGGAAAAGAGGAGATTACAGACTAGATATCTGCTAGATGTCTGCTTGCATCCCAGTGGCACTAGGTCTGAAAGCATGGCATAAAGAGTTCAATAGGTCAGCTTCCTTACAAGCAAAGGTGTCTCAAATATCTTCGCTCCGATGAAGGGCTAACGCTCGAAACGTCAGCTTTTGTAATCATTACGGTGGCCAATTTACCATTTCAACTTTGTTGATATATCCAAATTATTTGTGATGAATGGTCAAGGATCTTGTCTTTCAGCATTTTGAAAGCCCATTTAAGGCCCAAAAACCTCCTTTCTTTCTAGAAAACAGCTTTCTTGCTAATTGGCTTACATCACAAATTGTGTGTCCAGTGTAAAGATTAGTCCAAAATATTTTCATAAATTGCACACTATCATAACCATTTGAAGGGATATGAAGAATGTATCATAACTACTTTTCAATAGCACATGGTAGGTTAAAAGCTCCTTTACACACAATTGTGCTTGGATATTTGTCCATGCATGGACATTGTCTGACCCAAGAAATGAACTGTGAACTTCAAGGAGTTAGCAGGCTACTGTGTTTATCATCCTACAAACAATTTTTGTAATGTGCAGGACAAAATGTCTATGGACAACTTATTGTTTACTGCATGGGATGTTCAATTTTCAGAGTTAACTGAGATATGCCTCTATGAACAAACACACATGTAATTTCCTCTACAGCACAGCAAAAAGCTCCCTTACATTGAAAAACAAATAAACAGACTTTTATTGTAGTGGACATAAGGTATCACTTGGGAAATATTGCTGGATATTCCCCAGTTTAACTCTTTAACTCCCTGAAGATCTGATTGTTGACTCTCTCTTCCAGCTGCTACACATTTCCTTGTAAATAAGTTCTGAGAATTTGATGTCAGACAATTTCTACCAGATAAGCTTGAGTATTCTCATCCCCTATTTGCTGGATGATGTAAGGATATTATAGGGAGAAGTTTCAGGGTCTGCTAAATCTCAAAGTTTCATGTCAATCACTTCTGGGAGTTAAAGGGTTAAGCTGAAGAATACATGTAGTTGGTAACATGTGTGTCTAGACCAATTGCCTGTGAGCAAAAATGTTCATTATATGGTAGCCGCAGTTATTTTCTTCATGCAAAGAGCTGGCAAAGGTGGTAAAAAAATTATCACAGACCATACCACAGAACACAGTCTGCTTGCAAAGGATATCAGAGCAAAGTTCAGTACCCCAAGGAAAATAAGAACCAATAAGATGTGAATCACAAGTAAATTTGAAGTTGAGCGAGTCAATCTAATGCCTCCATTGGTAGGCACTCAACTGAAAGGTCAGACCAATGAAAGAATACTTAAAGTTACTGGCAGAATAAATTTTGTTGATCCCAAATTGGCCCACCCAACTGTGGTTCTCCAAAGTAACGAGATTATCAGTGAAACAACCAATTCTCCTACCCAGAAACAGCCAACTGCTGAAGCTAACATACGACAAGGAAGTAATTCATCCTCTGGGAAGCAAGCTAACCCTGCTGGCATGTCAAACTCATCCTGCATTGCTAAGATATCCAACAATATGGGATGGTAATGTTGTGTTACAGTATTTAAAACTGTAGCACCAGCCACAAGGCTTTCACTTAAAAAACTGTCATGTAAAGAGACTATGTTGTTGTTATTGTGATCTACTACCAACTCATCTTTTAATTTCAAATTGCAGGAAAGGTCAAACAAACAAGGCCTGAAACTCATCCCTCAAAGTTGACATTCATAGCCTATGCACTAGATTGCAGGCTTTGTGTTTACACGTACTTACACCTGTATAGGAATATTTAGCCACACAAAATAGCTTAAGGGACAAGAAACCCAGCTGCTCATAAGTTTCAATGAGCCATACAAGGCTGTATCAAAGGATACTATTGCCCGATGGACAGAGACTGTACTTTCAAAGGCTGGCATTGACACATCTGCATTTACCACTCAGAGTACCCCAGTTGCATCAGCCAGTGCTGCTAAGAACAAGGAGGTCTCTTTAGACACAATTATGTCTACCACTGGCAGGTCAAATGTAGGCACATTTAACTTAAGACATATTGTGACAAGCCAGTTCAAGTTAAAGGAGCTGTTAATCATAGAGATGTTATTCTAAGTTAATTTTCTCTTTATTGGTGTGTAATAAAACAATGGATTACTTTACATTGTCACATGGGCATTCTGCTTAAAATCTCATGTAGTCTTCAAGCAAGGTAAAGGTAAGGCAGAATTTAGAAATTAAATTATACTTACGAGTAAGTTAAAGTTTCACTGTAATTCTACCAATCCATGAAGTCATAAGGATATCATGTGCCCTCCCTGTTCTCTTTAAGAAATTAAGAAAACTGGCACTTACCCAGACCCTGGAATATTTTTTGTCCATTTGAACATCCCACGCACCAAATGGTAAGCTGTTTGTAAACATTTTTTCCCACACCTTGCAAAATATTCAAAGGATAATTAAAACAATAAGCTCCATTTGTTACTCGAAGCTCACACTTTTCCTCAAGGTTTGCTCCATGAATTATCTTGGAACAGATAATGTCTGTGGATCAGTATCTGTGCATATCTAAGGACCAAATAGAGGCTGTTCATTCATTAAATTTTCTACTCAGAATAAATTGCATTTCTAGTGTTCTGATCTGTTCACTCAACTCAGTTTATCAGCTCATATTCTGAATCACCTTATATGACTTAAAATATCCAAATGTTTAGGATTAAATGAAATTTTATTAAACAATTATTCCATTTGCCCTTGCTGGATGCAGTATTGGTGATGAACCATAACCAATGCACACCATGGAATAGTTGTTAATTAATCAGACCTTTCTAAACATTATTTCGAAGCTTTTGGGGACGAAAAAATTCAAATTTCAGTCTGGTTTTGTGAATTTTGGGAAAGATTCCATATTATCCCATACAATAACTATGCATTTCATTTCATAAAGACTAAATATAAAGGTTTCTTTAATTTGCAACACTCTTTTATATGCATAGTTATTGTATGGGGTTATAAGAAAATCTTGCCCAATTTTGTACAGTTTATTTTTCAAACACCGGATTGTAAGTTGATGAGGCAAAGATTTCGGCTGATGCGGGATCAATTTTCGTTTTCTACGTGTAAACAACGGATACAAGCGCTTCGACCGATCGATACCTTCCAACATCAATCCGTTCATGCGCAAAACTTCACAATATTTGATCTTAAACTCGGCTCGATTTTGAAGCTATATTTTAACAAACTACTTACTTGAAAAGAGTGCAGCATCATTGACCATCATTACGTGGTTAAGGCAGGATAAACAGATCTTATCCCCTCAACATGCCCGCCATGTTACAGAAAATATCGCAGGCGTTCTTCTGCAAGCTGAGGGAGAATAGAAACAAACTTCCGTTGTGCCGCGTCCGATGTGCCCACTCCGCGGTGCCTACTCTTCCTAATTGAAATAAACTGAATCCTGAACCAAACTTGAGATGGTCAATCTTAGAGACCAAACAAGTCACGACTCTGAAAATGTTCTCTTAAAAAGAGAAAAAAGGAAAGAAAAAAGAACAAAGAAAAAAAGAAATGAAAAATGCTAATTATGCTAGCGGCGCTATTTATAAAGAGCAAAAATTATGTTCGTTTATGGCAAAAATTTTATGGCGCGGTGGCCTTCTGGTTAGTGCGCTCGACTCCGTATCGAGTGGTACGGGTTCGAGCCCTGCCCTGGCTGGGGACATTGTGTTGTGCCCTTGGGCAAGACACTTCACTCTCGCAGTGCCTCTCTTCACCCAGGAGAATAAGTGGGTAAACGCGAATTTAACGCTGGGGGTAACCCTGCGATGGACGGGCAACCCTAAAACCAGGAAACCGGAAACCGAAACCAGAATCCGGAATCCGGAATCCGGAAACCGGTCTTGTACACATATACTGATTTAAGTTGTAATCTGGTGGACGGAAAATTTGAGAAAATACTTGCTCAGGTTTAGTTCGTAATATTTCAGCTTATAGCTAAGGATGCTGGTCGAGTGGTTGAACTGTTTTACGAAACCTTAAGTGTGTAATGAGACTTGACAGTGAGCACAACCCACTACAAGTTATTTTTCAAACATTCGCAATTGAAGGTTTTCTTTTTCATGAGAGTGTTCATGCCTCGATCCTCCATCTTAGTTTAAAAACAGAATCCAGGCCCATGCGAACCTAAACAGACCATTTCTCGCTACCACTGGTACCAAGGATTTAGATTACTTGGGCAGGACAGGGCGGAAAGCAAAAGGATGACTTGTTACCCCTTAACCAGTTATTAATAGAAATGCCCCTTCTCTATGACATTTGCTGACTTGTTGTGTATCTACTGGGCACGAAGGCCAAGTTATACCTCTAGCAAATTGCATGCAGATCACTTAACTACGAGGCAGTTACAAGCAATCGCACTTTAGTCGTTTTTCGGGTACTTAGAATCAAATTATGATGCACAATACTCTAGGTTGGTATATCCATAGCCCTCACAAGAATTAACGGTCGCCTATTAACTGAAATGCCGCGAATCCTTTTTATCAAAAGAGCTGTGCTTTGATGCCATTTTTTATTGACCTTTTTATATTTCCAGGAGAAAAATTTGCAACTTAACTTTAGTGTATTTGAAAAACTTCGTTTTTTCTTTATTTTTGGATTCCGGATTCCGGTTTCCCGATTTTAGGGTTGCCCCGATGGACTAGCAATGCATCCAGGGAGGGAGTAAAAATACTCCTAGTCGCTTCATGCTATGGAAACCGGATTTAAGCACCGGCCCGATGGGCCACTTGGCTCGTAAACAGGCTTTACCTACCTCTGGCAAAAAGTAGGCAAGCATAATCTTTAAGGGCCCACGTAGTAAACACACTAAGTCGCTGAAATGAAACTCCCTGTATCTGTTTTCAGAAGTTTCCCTATTTTTAGTTAAACAGCGTTTCTGATTGATTTCATCATTCACCTACAAGTTAGTACTTTTCTAACATCTCTAAGATGTATTAGAAAATTTCGTCTCTAGCTTCCGCATATTCCGTCAATGACTAAGTATTTAGCCGAGGACAACAATTTTGTGAGTAATACTCATTTGAATCTTGTTTACTTTGCCATAACTTTTGTTTCAGGCACAATTTAAGGTGCATCCTTTTTCCTCATGATTTCATAAAAAAAAATTGAGCGAAAATGGGTTAAAATCTTCATTCACTAGACAACATTTTAAATCTTCGAAGACATAATTTCTAAATACCTCTCTGGACGAGATAATATCGACGTGATGATTCCAGCTTAAATCGTGGCTACTGAATATACCCAGATCTTTTTCAACAGCACCAGGCTCCAACTTAGTTCCTTTTTGTGAAATTGTCGCAATTTAAATCTTATTTTGGGAATGACCAAGCGAGATGCAGCGTCTTTGAACAGTATTCGGGATCGATGTTGAAATAGCAGACGTCGAAATCAAAATATATTTTCTGACCATTAAAGACCAGTGAGAAGCTCCTGACAGTCTAGATTTTAGTTGTTGGATGTTTAGCTGTGGGTGACTACCGTCGCGCGTTCAAAGGTAATATACATATCTTATTAAGCAAGCGCGAGGGCCGCACTGGGAGAATATCGGCCCTCGGTCTTGAGAGTACACACATATTCCTCATTAATTCAGAGACTAATGAGATTGCACTACTGCATTCAAATTTTTGGTGGTTTTACAGCAATATGACTACGGACACCAAAGAATAAGTTGATTCAAAATACAATAAAGATTGAGAGACGCAGCTGGGTGGTCTTGGAACAAACCTAAAGAAATTTATACAAGATAAACAGATTCACCCTTAACTGTCCGTGATGTCTAATTGACATAATTCCGTCCAAGTTATCACGTTACGGTTGACCAACAATTAACTATGACAATGAAAATTGTTCAAGTGATGAGGGCTTGTGCACGTAATGAAATTCATTTCAAAACACTTGATCAGAAAAGGTAAAATGATCAAGAAATGTTTTTCATTATTAATAAGAGTTACGAATCTACTGGTATCATCAGAATTAAGGCCGTAGTAATGCTGATGCTCGTGAAAAGTGTTTCCCAGTTAACTAGTTTTTGACGTTAAAATCGCTTTAAGTCTTTCCGTTTACTTGACCACGCTAATAGCCCAAAGGCAGTGTATAGATTGCACACCGTCGTGTTTGACGGCCGCAAACCGGAAACGTGTCTTGACAAGTTTGAATAAGCAAAACAAAGGAATAATCTTGCCCGAAATACTTCGCTGACGAATTATAATGGATTAAAAGACAAGGATATTATTGACGACAGCGAGGTTGGCTTGACGACAGAGACGGAAAAACAATTAGGCTGCTGTTTTGGGGAAAGGTCATTGAAGGGTGAATCACATGACCGTTGGGACGCTTAGATATGAAAGGTATTCATTGGATATATTTAGAATAAAGCTTCGACATTCATGAAGCCCAGCTTTTGTTAAAAGTCATTTCAGAGGCATGTGGCATTTCGAAAAACACAGAATTCACACCATCATAATGAAAGGGAATCCCATGAAACATCTGAAAGAGAGATTAAGAGTTCAAGAGAAGTTGGATGAACACAGAGCAAATGAGGCAAAGAGATTCAGTCAACTCTCAAATTTGCCACAGAAAGTCACAAGACAAGAGAAGGCCGATGGATACCATCTCAAGTCTAAGACTACCTTTGAGGTGGGGTAAAGGATGTGATAAATACACAGGACAAGTCAATGGAAGATTGGATGAAGTAGTGAATATATGAGACAAGGATATTTACAATGAAGCCATTACTACATGAAGAGGATCACGATAACCCCCCCCCTACCCCCAGGTCTGGTTCCCCCTTCTTGTTGCCCCGCGTGGCTTAGTAAGCCGCATCCGGGGCCGGTATTCTTCCCTGAATAGGCTGTTTAAAGCTAAACAGGAAAGGGAACGGAAACGACCAAAACACGGACCAAGCAAAGTCTTATGAGATGCTGAGTGCACCGTCTTTAAAAACGCCTGACTCAGTTCTACCGAATCATTTTTTATATTAAACGAGAAAATTAGTCATTTCGACGACGCAAAACTTCGAGAAGGACAAAAAAAGGAGCGAGAAGGAGAAGGGCGCCGAAACCGACTTCATATCACAACAACAACACCGTGACGATGATACCCGTTAGCCATTCAGAAGTACCAAGTTTCGGGGCAAGTAACAGTTTAATCCTGCACTATTAGAGTAAAGTGCAAAGCACAGGAGAAGGGGAATCCAAGTTATCGCAGATTTTAAGCGAGATAAGAATCGTGCGCCTCGTTCAACTGGCAGCCTATTCACTTCACATAATGAAAACGTTTGATATAGAATTCGGAGGATAACCTGAGTGAGTAGTTATTTGCGTGCTCAAGGACCTTCTTGGTGTACTTCGAATGCGAGACCATGTCTATGAACAGCATATTTGAGTAAAGCCAAAATATTTTGATACAAATACCATTACTCTTTGATACAACTCATTCCACAAGGAGCTACTCGGATATTTGAGACAATTAAACCTATCTAAAATTAGTTCTGTGTCATTTTCAAAAACTGCACAAGGAAGGACATCTGACAACTTGTACATTAATTCAATAGCTCATTCGACCATTTGATTTTATCATTTATTTACTTTCCTGCTGGGCAGCAAACAGGTCGAAGACTAGCCTGGGCGCCAACATTTAAATTGTCATTAAGTTGTGCGCAATTTATTATTCTATTTTTTCCCCACAAAACGGGATAAAGTTAAATAAGCAATTTACTTTAGTCGACTTCTTACAAAAGTAGCTGAAAGACTGTATATAATTTGGTGTATGTACCGGGTTCCATATAAAATAAATGAAGTGCAAATATCAATTAAATAGCCAACAAAAAAAGCAAATATTTTTTTTTCTTCTTACTTCTTATCAGTTGGACTCAGAAAATATGATTCAGCTAGATAGAGCTGTTTGCAAGACAATGTCCCCACTGATGAAGTACTTGGTCGCGAAATCTTTAGAGGAAGTTGGATACCAGGCCAGGAGGTAGTTAAAAAAACATTTAGCTACAAAAATGGCTTTATTTTAAGAATCAGCAGAGACCGTTTTGAGATTGAATGCAAAAACCACGCTTACAACTCACACAACACAAATTCACTTCAGAACTGTTTTAATTACTCTTGCCAGGGAAGAGATTCCTGAAAAATGGAGACATCTTAAATGGGTAAGTGTTCTTGTAAGTAGTTTAGGTGTATTACTACTCCATTAAAAAACGCAGAGCTAAATTCATTTCACCCTGAAAAACTTTTCCATTCCATAAATGATAACTTAAAACGAGTGTTCGCATAGGTGTAGGTGTGCTGGTTACGATGCCTGAAACCGATTAAAGAGAAAAATAAGCACGCTCAAATCTCAACTCTTCCATTGAACAATTTCGTGGGACTTTAACCATACAAATTTTGTATGTTATGGAAGTTAAAAATTTCAGCTTCAATAATGTTCAACTTGTTCTCCTCAACATTGGTAGGAAAATCCTGGTGAAGAAGAGTTTTATTTAGTCACTGCATGCCTTCGACACCAAAACAGAATGCTCCAAGTAAGTGCTTAGATAAAACTTTTAATCTTTCGATTAGCACAAGAAATTGAACAGGCAGAAGACAAAAAATAATTTTTTCTCAACATTATTTTCTGCAGGAAGATTATCGCCAAGGAAGAGAGGCTTTCACACGCAAGAATTTAATAAATCTCGCACAACACCTTTGGGAGTATTTACTTTTAAACAATTCAACAAGAGTGAGAACATTTTCAAGGTAAATAAATATTTGTGCTCTGGATGGTCTGGAAGGCGAGTGAAGAGTTCAAAGAATATATGTTGAGAAGTTGTATACAAAGTGCTGGAAGAAAAGTTAGCTTATGATCTATTTCTATGGTAACAGTGTACTATTTTCTCTCTTATCGCAGTATGTATAATGACAGAGGATGGACACAGTATTCAATGGTAAGTAGAGCCAAAAGTAATGAAAATAACCATCACTAATAAAGATAAAATGGGGCATAAAATTACTATTAATTAATAAGATACACCCTTTTTTCAGTCATAAGCAGAGAAAAGACATGATAGTCATAGTCATGGGCTTTTGAAATGCCCTCTCTTTTCCCTAACGAACGTTAACTTTCCTTGACCGATTGAATCCACATAAACGAATCCACATAATGGCCTCCAATCTCCTATAAAAAAAAAACATCTTTTCCACCGATAAATTTATGCTTTCTGCAAGTCGCACATAGTGTACATGAGTTTTTTATTCCTTGAAGTAACATAAGAAAAGGATTGATTTTCTTAGACATCCAGCACCGGCTTGTTTTTCAATTTCATTAAACAATATTAACCAATCCAACGCCTTTCGTGCCTTTGAAAAGTACCGAAAAAGTTAAATTTTAGAAAATTCTGGTCAGGAATCTGTCAACTGTACTAAACAATGTACACGACATCACAGAGGTTAAGTGCCCTCAATTTTCGTCAAGAAGAGGGCCAAGAAGAGACGAAAAACTTCATATCTCATTTAATTTTCACTTCTTTCATTAACTCTTACAAAGAAGTCAATTTTCCCTAACTCAAAGGGAGATTTCCTGACTTTTCCCGACTACCATCAAAAGAAACGAGAACTTAGTCATCAGTTACTTCACTAAATCAGGACTAGAACTTGGAAAACTTGTTTAGCACCACGAAAATTGATTTTTTGCAATGTCATCCTGTCCAATTTACAGCAACATGTCACAACGTTTGAGCAACGAGTACAAATGCTACTGCAATTCATTAAGGTGTTCACATCCAAGTCGAAACCACGGGCCACACAGCTAACAAGGTAATTAACATAATTTAATTAATGGATGGGGAAATTAGAAACATTTCCACCAAATAAAAATCACCTGAACATCATCCATGTTTCGACCTCTTCAAATACATAAGTGTGAACTCTTTTGCAATAGAATACAGGACTTCCATAACGTATCCTCACCATTCCGCACTCTCTCCGGCCACTTAAACTGACTCCTTTACATACGGGGTTCAGCTTTCTTTTACCTAACACCATTAAGCAATCTCAGAGGCTTAGATATGTACCAAGAATTGCAGGAACCCTACTTTCTCCTTTGTAAATACGATAGTCTGTCGTAATGCAACATCATAACCTCACTTCTACATTTTTTTTTTCGGTTTCTTCAGATTCACTAATATGGACCTGGAAGAATTTGGGATTCTACCTCAACATACGGTGAGTTCATTGTTACTGATAGATAAAAACAAATAGACTCAACCTGCTGTAATATAGTGTTAAGTACGTCAGTAAGTAGTTTGGCTACTTTCCCCACTACAAATAATGAGACTTGTCAGATTCCAAACAATAATCTCTCATCAACCTATCAAACGTCTTGGTAAATTCATGGTGAGTTTGGCGCATCGCAGGTTTGCGTGAGCATCAAGGACAAGGAAAAACAATTTTGAAGCTCATTTCTGTCGTAATTGCAGTAAACTGTAACCTATTCTAGAACAGCATACTGAGAAATGGGTAAAACTTCTATTTGTTTGATCCACAGGAATCGTTGTAGTAGACTGCTACATTGGAATATTGCAGCAGATGAATGTGAAGGGGTGAAAAGAGAGATTTCAAGTAATATGATTTATCGTATGTAAAAAAAAAATCTTTGTAACCCATTCTTTACATCGGAATAGTCCATACGATTTCCCATTCCAGGGCCGATTGATTTTAGACTGGTAACTAATGTATAGAACAAGCTGTGCGGTAACAGTTGTATCGTTGAGGGCATTTCACATAGAGTTTTATATATAAAAAATAATAGGGCCAATTATTTAAAATGGCAAACAAGTGAAATGTCCAGACATTCGTAGAACACTTCGACCGATAGGTTGAGAACTGCCAACGTTTTTTGGACAAAAGATGAGGTAGCTGTGACCCCTTAACATCAAATTATCAAAAACTTGTCTTCCACTTCATCTATTACCAAAAAGATATTCACATTTCTTACAAGTGTGCTTACATTTGTGATTTCAGTTAATATGATAGCAATTGTTATATGCTCTTAGTTCATTTCAAAAGGATGGCATTTAAGATGTTAGAGGTTTTACAAGTCACCCTAGCAGCAGCCTCACCATTGTTGGAAAATGTCCTAATCTATTGAAAAATTTTTAAGTTAAGTAATAATCAAAGAATTTCAAAGCGAAGCCAATTATTTTATTATCAGAAAATCAGTTAAGAACAAGTGTGGCTCTCTATTTTTATGCTCCTCGTATAGTTACATGTATTTGTCTACAAAGCAAATATTTCATTTTGCTTCAATCAATCAATCAATACTTTATTTACCCACGAAGCGTCAAGGAGCTCATAAAGCTCGTTCAAAATACGTACGTGCCTCTAAGATTAAGAATCTGAAAAAAACCTTATACATACTGACAAAACCTAATTGATTAGAAATTAAAATAACTAACAATTAATATTAAAATTTAAGTTTGTACAATAAAATTCAAAGTCACTTAAATACAAGTATAAAATTGAGAAGCAGCTAAAGTTTCAATGTACTCAATAGCTTCTTAAAAAGGTTGATATCATTGGCCAGTTTTACACTTGTAGGTAATCCATTCCACAGCTGCGCACACATTTAAGTGAAAGATTTTTTCATAAAATTTAAATTAAATTTAGGTGCGCACAAATTAATGCCGGTTCCTCTCAGGTTGTACATAGTTTCCCTAAAACTAAAAAAATCTCTGATGTATTTGGGACCGTCGTTATGCAAACATTTATATAACAGAGTAAGGGATTGTTGTTTCCTTCTCTGGTCTAACGTTTCCATATTCAAGATTCGCAGCAATTCATCATAAAGGGTAGCCTTGAGATAACCTAGCAGTGATCTAAGAATATAATAGTTGGCATCTTCTAGCCGATTCGCTTGCACTTTCCCCAATCCAAGAAAGAGGGGGCAACAGTATTCAAAATGAGGGAGAATGAAAGTTTTATAGAGCCTTAACATAACATTGTCAGGGACAAAACGCCTGATTCTCCTAAGTGCGCCACTTTTAGCGTATATCTTTTGAAGCTGTTTAGTAATGTGATCCTTGAAAGATAGCATGCTATCAAGTTCAACGCCAAGTATTTTGATAGATGGCAGTGTCTCAATGACAGAGCTATGTATGGCCAGGTCGTAACTGTACTTACAGGGACCAATGTGTACTGCTTGCGTCTGTGTTGATCACCAGATGATTCTCTCGATTTTAGTCTCAGCGATAAATAAAATGTCAAACATGTTCCTTCTGAGCATCTCTTTCGTTTCATCTATTTTGTTTATCAGGCTGTTAATATTTAAATAAGCAATTTTAAGATTGAACTTATAGTATTCCCTTATGTTGGCCTGGTACCAAGCGAGAGAATCTAACCGATCTTCGCTAACTTCGCTAAATGTAGACGAGTTGCAAGCTTCATCATCGAAAGGATCGAATATAATTGGCGAAGCAGAGAGAACACTTGTATCCATAAGGTCTTCCGGAGCCAGTTGCGAAAGAGAACAGAGAGAACACACCCAGTCCAGATCCGGATGGTCTAAGTCACTAAAGTTACTAAAGCCACTTAAATTTTTAATATAAATACAAAGCGTAATAAAGGTCACTTCCGCTTCATTGATTAATTAAGCTATGACAAGCCTACTACCTTAAATGACGTAAGAGAACAACTCTGAAGGGGTTTGAGGTCCCCTTTTTGTTCGAATCAGTATGATCAATGATTATGTGGACGCATACGCACGATACGTTACACTCTAAAACGAAAATGTAAGTAAGAAAGTAATTTAAAAACTTTTCTGTGCTGGGTTTTGTATAAAATGAATTAAAAAAAGGTATGATTTGGAAAGGATATCTCTTTATTTGCAGCTACTCATTTCAGTTACCTAGAACTGGGCGACGACTTCAGCCCGAAGCTTCATTGACGCTAAAGGATCATTCATAGACCAACGCCTTTCGCCTTTGCTATAGACGTTTCTATCGACGAGGGACTCGATTAAAAATTTGGAAAAAAATGCCTGACTGCCCCATCTCCCATCACTTAACTGCGACTAAATTTTCATGGCAATCTGAGTCTTTTTATGGTGTTTTAGGATTTCCTCGGCTACAGGTAACCACCAACCACTATGTGATATGGCTTTTGGCCGAACACTATTCTCCTTTGGATTATCCAAATCAATTACCATCCAATTACATGAAACTGACTTGCTCACTAAGAAACCGCTTTACAGTGGGGCCTAACACGTACACTCTTCAGTGTCTTGTTATTTTCCATAATAGATGGCAAACACCACAGCGAACATTATTGAATTATGGATGCTCTTCGGAGGTTGCTGAGCACTAAAGAAGCGTAAGAGTCACTCGAGGCAATAGCCGAGAGCGACTCATCGCTTCTTTCGTGATTAGCAACCTCCCAAGTGCATCCATAACTTCATAGTGCTGGTTGTGGTGTTTACCATTTCTTTTAGAACACAACAGTGATACATTGTAGCAAAAGTGATACATTGTAGCAAAAGAGTTCCCTTTTAGTTAAAAAAAGCTTACGTGACCAGAAACAACAAGATCGCGAAAACTAGTCTTTGCATTTACTCACTTCAGCAGCGTACTCCCATGGGCAAATGGTGGACACTGAATTGACCAATCAGAGCGCGCACTTTACTTTGGTTATGTTGTCATTCGATTTGAAAGCAAGAGTTCTGAGTTACGAGGAATCCGTGAAGTCGTTCATTTTGATTTAACCTCTTTAAACAGAACAATCTGCAGTCGCTCCTGATCAGCATACTCGTTAATACCTTCCTATTCGTTGTTTGGACCGCCTTGATTCGTACAGTAGTAGTTTCGAAACAAAAGTGCTTTCCAGGATGACATTATGATAAAGTGGAAGTGTGTGTACATAATATCATCATACGTCAAAGGAATTTTAAACTCCAAAAGGTATCAACTTAACGTTCTTTGCTTCTTGATGTCTTTTAATCACTTGTGTCCCCTTGGGGGTACAGTAATTGGCAACCGGAGGACTGGGGCGAGTACCCTAAGCAGGAGAAAAAGGAAGGGAGCAAAATATTATCATGTCTTTTTTTCCCTCTGGTTAAACTGCATTTGCATAACTTGAACGCAAAAGGGGTCCACAGCTTTTGATGGTGGATAATGTAAAGGATGAAGTGCGTGAGCTAAAGCCTTCGTAATTGTACTGAAACAGTTAAAATTTTTAATGGGTTAACAATCTTCAACTTTGATCTGTATTCTCTATGAAATGGTTGTGAACTTTTCTCGAAACCATTGCTCCTTTCCTCCTCATATGGTTCACAATTGAAAGGGTATGTTTCTCTTCAAAGTTCATTTTTAACTCGGATAACGACACAGTTATTAATCCAAGATATAAGTTCGGACGGAACATTCACTCCTTCCTTCCTTCCTATTGACTTTTTGTAATTCCGCTGACCAGTATAAAAAGCGAATGCGCCCAAGTCGAAAAAGCTTTATCCAGAAAGTGGTTTATTTCACAGGCAACGTTTCTTATTCGTGGATCGTTTCTTACACGGTCAACAACGTATGTTTTTAACCTTGAAGTTCTCAGTTGTTAAACAAATTCAATGTTGTTCAATGAAAGTAGCGCCCCGTCAGTGATTGACCCGAACTAGGGTGGCAACGGGTTTTGCATGACATGTGATGGCTCCAAAATTTAGAACGTGATGCATGATTGAATCCAAATTATCCGCGTCACGGGGGACCGGACATCACAACCTAATTCGTGATTTGCCATTTCACAAGCGGGTGACACGTGAGTTACACGTCTTAATAATAAGATTTCCGTGATAAGTGAACACTCTTTGACCTAGAAGTAGTCTGAATGTCAGCAGTTCTCTCCCCTTAATCCACGGGGGATATTACGATACGAAGCCCGAGTAAACGCTTTCAGAGCGTCTTGTTTTAACAAGTCGTCTCTATTTGTCTGACAAAAAGCAATATGACACGTGAAACGCAATTCACACCAGAATAAAAAAAGTTGGATGGAATAAAATTTAAATGATACATCCGGTAGGTTCAAATCTTACAGTATTGGCTCAGCGTACTCCCTCTTTACGTGACGCGTGATTAGTTAACAAATTCTCCGTGATGCGTGATTTGAAAGAAAAGGTCAGCGTGATGTGTGATTGGAACCCTCACCACCCTCCCCCCCCCCCTTTGTCACCTTGCTCAACGTAACACCAGGACATATTCAAGGTTCCTCAATTTAATTCAGTTAATTTTTGGATTGTCGCATCTGTTACGCTGCAACACTTCGAATTTCCAAAGCGTCCACCTTAACCGAATTAACACCTTTTAGTCTTGAAAGCAGAAGAATTCACAAAACAAACACCTCATAGATAGTAGGAACCGCTTTGTTAGCACTCTCTGTTGACAATCCCCGCCCCATTAGAGTATGTTGGTGTATACCTCAAATGTTCCTAAAAATAACTTACTATGAAGATTAAAGTTACGTTTTATCACATGTTCACATGACTGGTTGCTCGCATACGCAAAAGTTTTAAATTTGTTATGCGTTCTTTGCGTTGCCTGCAGGCATGAAGCTCAACCAGCAAGAAGACGCAACAAGGGAATGGCACAATGTGGGAAAGAGGCATAGCGCCAAGATACTGAACACTGTCGGTATATTTCGAGCAAAATCGTTTATGCTTAGGTTCAGCTTTTTCCTTCAGTGTAGTTTCCACACTCGCTTTGATCAACGTGGGTTTCATATTTCGTTGAGAATTTTTCTCAAGCAAGTTAAAAATACATTCAAAGAAAATGGGTCAGTTTAGCACTGATTATGCAAATGAAAAATATAGAGATATTTGTCGTCCATCATGCTTAAGGTAGTAAACTTTCTCTTTCCTGCGAGTACTCGCTTAATTCTGCGAATCAAGGGCAAGAGTTAAAACCCTGGACAAAATTTTCATGCCATACGATATTCATGGCAAATTTCTTTAGCAGGAAATTTGGCAATCTTGTGGAATCTTATCAGAGGAAAGAATTTGACGGTTATCACATCATATTGACCCACTGGTATGGCACGTTAGCTTTGCCGTAGAACTTGATTAACATCAAAACAAAGCCGAAGGAACTTTTCATAACCGCAACTTTTCATTTGGAAGTATTCAGCTTTCATATCTAACGATTCAATTTTTGAAATAGAAGATGGTTTCCTAATCGGTAAAATCAAAATAGGCGCAAATCTGAGACAAATGTTTTGCTCTCTAAAGTTGCGGAAATTTGTATCTAATACAGGGCGATAAGTTGACAAGTCCAGCGAATAATTCCATTAAAGTTCATCAGCGCCAATTTACTCCCGGGGAATGTAAGACAAAATACTTTTCAACTAACGGGGAGGTATTTCAACATTTTGTAGATCATCAAAATCTCGTAGCCAACATAAATAAGTTTCGTAATCAGTAGGGGCAACAAAAGATATTCTTGTCGACAGTTAAACAGCATAACTTGCA